GACACTTTCGAAAGTATCTTTTCAGGCTGGTTTCCAATGTGGCCTATGAGGAATCCAAAAAATCGGCCATCGCCCACAGTCAAATACAAATAAGGTTTGTCGAGGGTAAATAACCTCACGGGCTTCGAAGGCTCAAATCGCGAAATAAGAAAATTGCCAATCTCTGGGATGTTGTTGGTACGTTATGCACACGTTGAACCCAGTGTGTACGTATAGGTCGTGTAAGGGACGAAAGCCAACTGTAAATACTTTACCTTAACGATACTTATTTGTATCATGAGATTTTCACGAGACTTTCTGGTATTGGTAGATATAGTCGGTCCGGGAAATCGGAGTGATATTTTTTTTTTTTGACAGTTCGCAAATAATCAAGTCCAAAGCAAATCCCACGTGGTTTTCTATTAAAAAAAAAAAAAAAAAAAAAAAAAAAAAAAAAGGTAAATATATGCTGAAAACGGAAAATAAAATATGTTTAGTTCAAAATTCTGTATATTGACTTTTGTGAAAAAAATATTTATATGCAGTGACACGTGTTTCTGGCTAGAGAGCTCATTTTTTTCCATCTGTCAAAAAAAGCAGCATCGAACTCGTGGACCGATTGTACATAGATGATTCAAGGAAATTCGAAGAAAGTAAATGTTAAGTGACGTGAACTTCAGCAGCAGACGATATTTTGGTCCTTGGGGATGATTCGAGCATGAGAACTATCGGTGAAATGAGTATCGCCTCAAGGAGGAAACTTACCGATAAATTTTCAGTTTTCAATAAATTTCAATGTCCCTCTTCGTCCTCTGCTAAATTTCAGTTAATGATTGACAAATTTTCCGAAAAAATTATCTAGCATCTTCTGACATCTTGACTTTAGTCACTTTTGTCTCTTGATTCTCATATCCGATTTGCACTGTAACCACAATCCCTGATTATATTCGAGGCACGTGTTATGTTGAATAGGAGACAGAGGGGAGGATCGACCTTTTGAACTATGTGAAAAAAGTGATATTAGCGGGCGTGGAGAATTCTCGAGGCTTTGCAAGACGAGCAAAACCTGTCAGAAACATCAGAGTTACCGTGGCTCCAGGATGCTGCGCGTTGGTCGCATTAGGGCCAAAGACTTCGTCAAGCCTCGATGCTTCTCTTCGACAAGAAACAGTAGGTACAGTCACTGTCAGAGAATTTCAAGAGATCCAACGTACCACGGGACAAGACAAGTCTTCGAGATAATTTACCAAATTTCTTACTCTTCTTTTCCTTTATTATTTCTTTACTTGTGCCAAATTAATAAAAAATAAAGAGAATCCAGTTCGTTCTTTAAAGGAAAATGACGCTCAGTCCCACTCGACTGAATGCGACTGAAACGACTTTTGCACGAGTTTAAAATCCTGTACCATTTTTCATCCCTCTACTTTTCCTCTCTGACTCGTTGTTCTTCAAGCTTCTCTCTCTCTCTCTCTCTCTCTCTCTCTCTCTCTCTCTCTCTCTCTTTTTGTACATTTATTTTCACTCTCGATTCCCTTTACTGCGATACGAGGCGTTCGCGACAGACTTCCTCCAGCCGTGAATCAGACAAGGCAAATCAGTCCGGTATAAATCGCGTATTTTATACGTGAAACCAGATAGAAATCTACATGCGGCTACGTATACGAAATATTTCCAGAGTGTATATAGGTCGCGAGCTACGGGCTAAACGATGCGGTTGCCACGAAGGCTCGTAGGTTGGTAGGTCGGTAGTCCCGTAAGGGCTATAGATATGCAGCGCTGGAAAGAGGAAAGAGCCACGACATATTTTAACGTTTTTACTCCATCATTGCCCTGGAGCAACTATTTTGCTTGACAATACCACACGCCGCCATTGCGATCCTTTATTTTTATTATTTTTTTTTTCTTTCGACTTAATATCCCACTCTCAAACGGCAAACGTGATCTTTTTCGAAATATTTTTTTCATACAATTTTTATTATCCTGAGGATTTCGAAAAATTTCATCCCCCTTTTCGATATTCTATAATAACATTCTAAACGGGGTTTCATGGTAATTTCCTGAACCATCTATATAACCTTATATTAATATCTATAGTCCCTTTAGATAATTATTGTCCCGCTGCTCGAGGGGGGAGGGTTGGCCGCGTGAATTTTTGACCTGTACGGAAGGCTAGTTTTCACGTGAATAATGATTCTCGACGTTAACCATAATCACGACTTGGATCGATATTAGCGGGCAATGTAATTTGACAAAATAAGGGAAACTGCCCTTTATTGGTATGCGTTATTACTTCGGAGAACGAGGGATGATCCAATTCTCATTCTCTTTATCGCTCACGTCATGGGGTATTACTTTTTTGAATAATGGCTCGTGTTTTTCATATTTTTTTTTCAAGTACCTACTTTGGCTTCCTTATACAAATTTTCGAGTTCTTGAATAATTTTATGATTCCCATTGCCGATATATCAAATCATCCAGCCGATGGTTTCGAGGTAAGGATGGTCGCAGGACGAAGGGTATATGAAAAGTTTTAGAAATTTTTTTTTTAAATAATAGCCATCCCTGGCAAAACTGATTATTGTCCTTTAAATTTACCTTCGCGTTGCCAAATTGCTCGATAAAATCGTGACTGAGAAAAAAAAAAGTAAAAATCTAGAAAAAACAAGTTAGCGCATACAAACAGTAAAAGCTAACGAGAGATTACGAGATGTCAGCGCTATCAACATCCCTCGGATATTTCGCAATCGGTAAATTCGTTGCCAAACAAATTTGCACTCGCTAATGGGAAAAAGTGATAATAACGCGCGGGATAGAATGTGCGGAAACACTTTGCGAATATTAACGGTCCTCCCCCCCCCCACCACCGCCCACGAATTTCTTGTTCCTTTTCCCGTATATCGGTGATTTATTCGAGGGGAAGTTAAGAGAAGGAAAAAAAGGACGAAGAACCAAAAAAACGCCATTTGTAAAAAAAAAACCTAAATGCCGAATCTTCCTTCGGTACAGTTATTATACCGGGTGGAAAGATACACTTGGAATATCATACAGACAGTCAGAGCGGAAAATGACAATTAAGGATAAAAATGCAAAGGGTAAACGAAGAGAAATAAATTGAAGTGAAAGGTGCAATAAATGAATGCGAAGGAAAACAAAAAGGTATAAATAGAACAAGACAACGTGAAAAGTAAAAAAAAAAAAAAAATAAAAAGAAAAGTAATAAGGGTGCCTTCGTCTGTGATAATTGAGGGATCGGCTTGTTACGAACCGTAAGGACAATCTGTCTGAAATTCTTTCGAGGAAATGGAAAAGGTGCGAGAAGTTGTGAAAACGTGGAGAATGATCACTTTCGGGACGGAGAAATTAAATAAATGAAATAGAAAAAAAAAAAAAAGAAATCGGAAAAACGTTCCATCTTAGTCCAGGTCCTTCGTGCGAGGATACTGCCCGATCCCGGACCTTCGGTCCAGGACCCTGGGCGGTAGAGCGATGGAGTCCTGGTAGGTATCCAGGACTCGCGATAATGTTTCGTCCTACCTTGTTTCTCCTGGACAGCCTTCCCTTAACTCTGGAACCTAACCACCCTTCTCAATACCTCCATCTCCCTTTGACCTAACCCTTCAGCCCTTATTCCCCATTTTCATCCAAGGCCGCATGACTCCCAGGCACGGCAGATAAATTATTATATTCCCATGCTGAGATCGCATCTTCGATATAATGAAAAATAACGAAGAATCCTATATATACGGGTTTAAGCTAACGTCGGTACGGTAGATTCCTACGTTGCTCATATATGCCTTCGCCTATATCTCCCTTCAATTCCATATCGGATTAACCATTGTTCGCCGCCCCGTTCGCCATTCCGAATCGAATAGCCATTATCGTTTCGTTTTCCTTCGATTCAAACCGAGCGGAAATTCGAAATTGAAAAAGGCCTATATATTAATTCCATATTGGCACGTCGCCCTTTGTCTCTATTTATTTTTTCCTCGCGCTTCTAATAACTAGAATAAAAATATATAACACGTAAAGGGTGTAAAGGTAAAATTTATCAGCCTTCTGCCACCTTCGCCATGGTAAGTGTCATCTCGTTCGCAAGGGATCAAAAATTCTATGCGACGCCTCCGAGGCCTGTGGGCCTCGAGTTACTCGGCGGCGCCAAGAGAATTTCGCCTGCGAACGAAAAGGCACAAGAATCAAAGATATAGACTCGTAGCGAAGGACTCTGCGGAAGAGCCGTATCCTTCCTTCGCCGGAAGTACGTCAACCGAGTCAAAATGGCAAGATAGCCCCAAGGGATGTCGACGACTTGTCGAACGGAGAACGTCCAAGTTTTACAATCCACATGGCTACCTGGCATTTTCAGCCCACTGCGAAGAAAGGGAATATTATTTTTTTTAGTCGATACAAAAAAAAATAGTAAACCGCCACTCTCATCGTTTAAGGATAGCCGATGGTGGTCCGAGGACAAGGCACTGAAAGGGATGAACCAGAAAGGAAGAGAATTTCTGTAGAAAAGTCAAAAAAAGCGACGAGACCAATGTATACTCACCCAGTGATATTAACTACCCTCTTTAATAAAATCTTCATCGTCCCCTTCGCTCCGACTGCTTCTCATCCCTCGAAACGTTTAATATTAAACGGACTTTTCTCCTCTTCCATCTGACAAGTAAATGGATCGTAATAAATATTCTTCACTGGCCTTTTTCACGTGTCGTATTTTTTATTCGTTAAAATTCAACGATCAATCTTACAATGGTTAATACCCCCCGCTCCCACC